TTATGCTAATAAGGTGATTAATATGCACAAATATTTTACCCAAAAACTAATTAGGTCTCTGCACAGTCCTCAAGTAACTATGTACCAAGTTTCATTGAAACGTGATCATTACTACTCGAAATATCAAAAGCTGAAAATTAATTAATTATGCAAATTAGGTAATTAATATGTACTGATATTACGTTAAAAACTATCAGGTCTGTGCAGTGTCATATGACACCTATGTACCAAGTTTTATTGAAATGTTATGATTAGTACTTGAGATATCAGTGGAAAAACCGAAAATTGATTAATCATTATGTAAATTAGGTAATTAATAATTAGTTCATTAGTTCAGAGCATCCATGTGCCAAGTTTCATTGAAATCCAATGAGTGGTTCTTCAAAAATCAGTGGAAAAGTCATAGAACAGCTTAAAATCAGTTAATTATCATGCAAATTAGGTAATTAATATTCATAGATTTTTACCCAAAACTAATCAAATCTGCGCACTAGTTCAGAGCATCCATGTGCCAAATTTCATCAAAATCCAATTAATGGTTCTTCAGATATCAGTGGAACAGTCTTGAAACAGCTAAAAATCAGCTAATTATCATGCAAATTAGGTAATTAATATTCATAAATTTTTACCAAAACCTAATCAACTCTGCGCATTATCCCAGACTATCTATTTACCAAGTTTCACCATTTGATTAGTGGTTCTTGAGATAACGGTGGAACAAAAAAAGTGACATACATACATACATACATACATACATACATACATACATACATACATACATACATACAGACATACAGACAGGGTAACTGCAAAGACTCCCTTTTGTGCTTCGCACACGGGAGTCAATTATTACGAGGATACCTCATAGTGTGCACAAAGACAGTAAAGCGGGAGTATCCACCGACGCGCAGCAGAGGTCAATGCGACGTTGTACTGTCTGAGTGCATACTTTGAGGTATCCTCTTAATAACCTTATTATTATACATCTTTTCCTTCCAAGGATACATCATGGGAATGCCGAAATTCAAAATGTTTAGAACAGAATCAGAGAACTTCTTTGCGTGGAGTCCGGTCAAACCTTGGTGGCAGCCAGTTATTATTAGAGGACGCTTATGTGCATAATCATTCCAAATTTGGAATTTGCATTTGCCTAATATGGTAGGATGAAATTTCCCTGTAAAATACCGCAAAATTATAACACGCTGTAACTTATGGCGTTACGGTAACAGATGTATAATAATTATTTATAATGTGATGATATTACCTGAAGAAGAGTTTTTTTTCTTGCTATTTTTGATCTATCAAATGGAGCTATGTTATCCAAACCGAGAAAACCACCAGTAAACAAATGGTTGCCATGTGGATCTTTAGTGTTTAGCCACCTAGGATACAGAAGTGAAGACTTTCAGTAAAATGTGATGACGGAGTGTTTGTTCTGATCTTGTTGATTTATTAAAAATACAGAAAAAACAGACCAATATATGGTGAACACAATCATATATTGGTGCAAATTATTTTTTTTCTTCATTTAGTTTTCAGGTAGATTTTTTTCAGGATGATGTTGCTGTGAGGATTTGTTTTTTTTCTTCATTAATGCTCATCTTGTGGGCCCCATTGACTTTTACATTGACTTGAAGAGATAAGAAATTTGAACAAATTGAATATTATGTCATCTTGTCTATGTTTTCATTATTATTGGCTAATGTCAGATAATAATTTCAGATAATGAAAACAAAAATTGGGATCACCAAAAGATTTTCTGAAAACAAAAGTCTGAAATGTCTTTTGCATTTTTACACCAGTGAAATTACTTCTTCATATTTCAAAATTTTGCATCGTGACATGACATATATAGTTATATATTATTATTGTGTAATCAAGCATTTTATCTGTATTTTCCCAGTGTGGAACTTTTTTTACAAATTTTCTTGCAAATAAGCGGTAGTTTTATCACAGATGCTCATTTGCATTAGACTAGAAATGTATGCTCGTCTTGTAATTTTGCGAACGTTTCGCTATTTGCAAGAATTCTTCATTTTGTGCGAGATCTTCAATGTATATCACATTAGTTGCAAACTTATTTTATAGGTCGAGCCTATTACCTATGTTTGAAAGAATACATACCAGCCAAAGTTAAGAATCATCTTGTGAAAGCATTTTGCCAGGAAGTCTCTGTCACCAGTCTTTCTGTATACGTAGAGACAAGCCCATGCGTGTACAGGTGGATTGACATCACTGAAGTCAAACTCATATGCTGGAACCTGCAACAAAGGGAAATTAAATTGAAGGTTTTCCAATTCACAGTAAAATAACTTTGTAGATTGCTGTGACATAGTTTATTTATCATGTGATAGTTCAACAAGTGCTAGATACCAAGAATCCACATGTATAAATTTGAGATTGTCTGAGTAGGTTATCCAATCCACCATTTTGTTCATCTAATTTCATAGCTATTCATTTAAATAATCCTCTAAATATCCATCTTTCAAATATCACCTAGCAGGTTAATGAAATAACGTGAAATCCTGATGATTACGAGAGTCTTCATGCAACCAACCAACAATCATGCAAGTTGATGTTGTAATCCGACTGAATATTATGTACACCAGAAACCTGGAACTGGTTTCTACTGTAAACTCTGTGATCAATCTGATGCAGTTCTATTGTATGTAGCTGCTTCAGTCAATTTTAGTTATGTTTCACCTCAATATAAACTAGGTATACTGTAAAACCATTTATTGTCACTGATATTTAATTTCACTATTTTGATGTTTAGAGCATATTCACTGTCTTTTAATTTCACGAATTTGTCAAGGAAACAACGAGTTTTATTGTTATTTTATTTATTCACATAGATTTAATTTAGCGGATTTTACTTAATACCAAGTGAATAATTATTGTATTTACAGTATCTAACCAATTAAACATCTAGAAAAGTCATAGATCTTGCAACCAATCAGAATTTGTGATACAAGCAGTTTTCAAGTAAGGTGCCCTCTGATTGGAGCATTTACACATTGCTGATTTTAAAATAAAGGATTAATGTGACGATACTTACCTGACCATTGGGATGCATATATCCTTCACTGAGCATGAGCAGTAGTTGTTGCTTAGCAAAACCAGAATCAACATCTGTATATGGTATCATATGGAAAGCCAGGTCCCATGATGCATACTACAATTAAATGTAGAGATAAGAGCAATAGATGAGTTCTGGGTGGCCTGGTTGCATGTAAAGAAGGGGTGGGATAAGAAGTTTCAGAAAGATAATTCACAATATCAGTCTCAGTTGGTTTTGTATTCTGAGCATCCTTGATACCTCTGAAAGTTTACAAAATTTATGTAAAATATGGAAAACATTTTTTATTCACACACACAATGAAAATATAATTGATTATTATCTTTGTATCTGTACATACACTTTTACGATATCACTGAGAAACAGCATACTGTATGTATATATTCAACTTGTAAAAAACAAAAAGCAAAAGGGCACACAAATGGCTGGTTATAAAACCAACTCTTTTTTGTTGTTGTGAGCGTGCTCAGTCACATAGCAACCGAGGAATGAGCACAGGGAACTAAAAACTATCTATTATTGTTAGCTGTATCTATTTTCCCTGATAGCTAACTGTGCTAAATTGAAACTCAGTGAATAAGGCAAAGTATGCATTTTTTCTTCATAAATCAGTGAACTAAGAACATAGTCAATTATAAACACACGATCAAAATTAAATGCACTGAAAAGTTCCTTTTATATTATAAAGTTATATAACTGAATACCCAAACTAATCATCAAGGTCTTCTGGCCGTGGCAGTAATTTATGTGATACAACCTGACTGTGTAATACTGTTGTATTTCACATCAAACACTGAAAGCCTAGATGGATACATAGTCAAAATGAATGGGGAAAAAACGGCATCAGGATGCAATGTGTTAATAAAAAGTTACGGGAAAAATTTGAAAATCACAATTCTGGCAGTAATCACTTAGAGAAATGTCAAAATTGTGAACGCTATTCTTTCAAACTAATATTGTATTGCAATGTATGTTTGGTAAATTGTTATCACAAGTTGGTGAACTATATGCTGTAAATCTACTGTAAAATACTTTATTTTCGCTTGGAATTAATTTTCGCTGAAGGGATGATTCAGTGAAACTAAAATCCAGCGAATATACCTTTTTTCCTATATTTTACATTGAACTCGTCAAAAATCAGTGAAAATAAATTCCATACAAAACACCCAAAAAGTCATTTCAGCGAAAATTAATTCCAGCTAAAATAAAGTATTTTACAGTATTTAATTTTGCAAGTCAATGAAAATCATGATATCCGTAGCAGTAAAAATTTATCTAGTATCCTACAACATGATGACATTTTATCTTCATGAATGCAGTGAAAATTAAACAGTTACCAGTATCTTACCCAGGGAAATTCCCACTTGTCTGGCATGGAAATTATGTGTTTATTGACTAAGTGACACCAATCCTTGTTTCTTCTTGTCGTTTTAGTAGATGACTTTGAACACTTGGCGTAATCTGAATAAAAAAAAACATAAGATGTATGAACTTACTGGTGCAGTATGATTGAGCCATTGTTTTTTGGTAAAAGACTGGCTTAGGTTACAATATAGTAACGAATGTTTCAAAGTGGAAACAAAATAATGCAATTGATTTTTGAAATCTTGTTGCATACATTGTCTGATGTTTACATATTTCTCTTTTTGTGCAATGTTCTAATTTGCATTATGAAGCAGTGTGCTATATTATGAGGTTATTACGAGAATACCTCAAATGTATGCACGAAGACAGTACAGCTGGAGTATCGCCCAACGCGCAGCAGAGGTCGATGCGCGGTGTACTGTCTGAGAGCATACTTTGAGGTATTCTCATAATAACCTTATTATTATACATCTTTTCCTACCAAGGATACATCATGGGAATGCCAAAATCCAAAATGTTTAGAACAGAATCAGTGAACTTCTTTGTGTTGAATCCAGTCAAACTCTGGTGGCAGCCATGTTTGTTTTTATTATTTAATAGAGGACGCTTACGCGCGTAATCATTCCATATTTGGAATTCGCATTTCCTAATAGGTAGGATGAAAATACCCCGTAAAATACCGCAAAATTATGGCACGCTGTAATGGCGATACGATGACAGATGTATAATAATAAAAATTAATGTCTAAACTCATATTAGAAAAACATATGAGATTCAGGAAAGCATATCATTTTATAGTTTACATATAGTAACTACAACAAGAAGACTGCATCGAAGTTTTTAAAACTACCTTGTTCATGAGGTGCTTCTAACAAAGGCAAGTTTTTAAAACTACCTTGTTCATGAGGTGCTTCTAACAAAGGCAAGTTGATGCCAAGGTATCACACTAAATAGCATCAGCACAGGATAGGTAAATATCAATCATTATTATACATCTGTCACCGTACTGCCATAAGTTACAGTGTGTCGTAATTTTGAGGTATTTTCATCCTACCAGCCATGTTTGTTTTTATTATTAGAGGACGCTTACGTGCATAATCATTCCATATTTGGAATTCGCATTTCCTAATAGGTAGGATGAAAATACCCCGTAAAATACCGCAAAATTATGGCACGCTGTAATGGCGTTACGATGACAGATGAATAATAATAAAAGTTAATGTCTAAACTTATATTAGAAAAACATACGAGATTCAGGAATGCATATCATTTTATAGTTTACAGTATCAATTTAAAAAACACACACCTGTAACCCTAGTTATAACCTCCAGTGCTCCTCAATTTGTTTTGTATATGCCCCTCCTAAGGACACCTATAGGGGACATATACAATTGAATTGGAGGTAAGGGTTAGAGTTAGGGGTAGGGATGCAAAAAGATCTCTTTCTGTACTTATATATACCAATGTGTATTATAGGGATACATTTGATGATATGGTAAACTTTATCCAAATGTCAAAATGAAATTGTACACAGCTTTAACTATACTGTATTTATTCTATTAGAAGCACATGTGCTAATGTACATATCATAGGTTTATCCATAGCCAAAAAAATTCTTACATTACTGTACACAATGAATGCAATTTATGGTTTAAGTGTGCTACTATTCTCTGTGAATTATCAAAATACCTTTCATCCAGTTTCTTATATTGTAAAAATAAAATTGCTTGCTCCACAGCAATCCAGCATATGCCTGTCTACTGATGGATCTTTCTTCTTTTGTTAGAGTGACCGGTAAAACCTTACATATAGATATGAGATGTTAACATGAGATATTTATGCAACTTGAGTTGCAGGTTAAGTTATACAGGTTAAGTCAGGACACTGAAAACATTCATGATAATACTGTTTTCGATCATTTTAGTGCCTATGTATGTTCAAGCAAGATGGGCAAATTGTCAGATTATGTTATCATCATCTTTTTTGACAAGTAATATGCCTCAAAACATGTCACAATATTGTATGACAGTGCAAAAATTGACATTTAGACAATTTTCTGAGGAAGTTCTTAGCTAAAGCACCTCTAAAAATTATTTTTTTAGTTTAGGCCTCGGGCATTATGAATTTCCTGATTAAAGGAAACTACAATATTTGATTTGGGATCTTTGGAACACAGAATCAGAAACTTTCATGAAATTGTGTCCTTACAAATAAAATTATCAAATTGCAGAAATTGATAGTGGCAAAAATAGAACATTTTACAATTTTATAACTAACAATTGAAAGTACCATATTCGCTCTATTAGAAGCACTTCCCTAATGAAAGCGGATATACCGGTAAACTGAAAATTACATTTATTGTATACTGAATCATTAAAATATTACTTATTTTGACCACAGAAGCATCTCTGTTATTCACATGAGTGTATGCACTACAATAGAGCAAATACGGTACATGTAGTAAATTTAAAGTCGTGTAAGAATGCCTTCTACGACACAAAAGTCTGTTCTGTTGTAATATCACAACTAATCACATTTGCAATGTCAAATGTATGTGTCCCATTGCACTGTTTTACAGAACTGCTGTCCAATGGTTGATTAATAAGGTATGTGAATGGAGACTCCAAATTTAGTTATTAATTAATCTGCATCCCATAGCACAAAACACACCTCTTGATAAAATACATCAGCTTCTTGTCTCCTCCTACTGAGTATCTCAGTAAACCAGTCTCCGAACACAGTATCGTTTTGCTTGCAGTCTTCAGATACTACAAGACACCACTTTACAACAACACTGCTTTCTGGCTCTACATTTAATACAATATGTGCTGCACATTTGGTGCCAATTTCATCTCCATTAATAGTGTTTTTGTCACCTAGAAATAAACAATACAAGGAGAAATGTATGAGTGTTTATGAGGTCTTGAACTCAGCATGAAAACTGGTTGTTATCAATGTTGAATGGTGTGGTCAAGCAGTCACACCCCGCAAATGGAAAACCCATCTTCCTGGATTTATACAACATTTTTATTTTTTTTTCGCATTATTGTGATGGTACTATAATAAGTGTAAAAATTATGTATTTTTAAAAAATCAATCTTTATTGATTATGTAATATCAACCAACCTTGTACAACATATTGGTGAAATGCATCTTTGCTGTAAGTCGTGGTGCCATCATCAGTGTCCAATTTCGTCTCGTTTTCCGTGAACAGATATTGTGTAGATTCATCATTCTGTCCATTATACACCATCCATGAATACTCACCTGAAAATTTGTATTTGTTTATTGTTACAAGATTCTGAGATGTCTAGAAGCTCTATTTAATGTTGTGAAAGTGTCATCGCTTGAAACACAGCTTTATTGCTAGGAGCTATCTTGTAAACCACTTGTACTCCTGACTAGTGACAACAGTCAAACCTTTGTATAGCCGCCCTTTAATTAATTTGTCAAAAGAAAATATGTCAATAATTTCTCAGTTAAGGAGCAATTTATCAACATATATTTGAAGAAGGAGAATAAAAAAAAAATACACTTGGCTTGAGACTGAGAACATCAAACATGCAATCATCTTCCATCATTTTGGTCTTTATACACAGGTTCATTTGAACTGATGCCAAGAGGGTGGCCACTGGTCACATTAGACAGGTGGTCTTTATATACAGATAA